GATGATCTAGCATTCTCACGTGAGATCATTTTGTCGACTTTGAGAACCTCACAGAGAAAAGAACGACCCAAGACAAAAAGACCTCCTCTTAAGCTCTCGTAAGAAAGTGGGGCTCTCCGTAGAGAGAAAAATTATCCCTGGATAGGCTCTGAGAAGTTTAGACAAGCCTGCTCGTTTTTTCATTGAATTGTGAAATCGCTGCAACAAATTATTCATTTGTTTCGTGTATTATATGATGGTGGTACCAAACCTGCCCTGAAAGACTTCATTTGGTCCTGACCAATCCCTAGGCGCAGCGAGCGCACCAAGGGAACTAATGCGCTGTGATATTATTGTAATAATGTGAGTTCCTACGTTTAGTGCTGCAAAGTGTTACTAAAAAGTGAACAATGATGTTAGTAACTAGTAAATCAAGAGCTCAGTTACTTACAAGGCACATATTTTCAATAGGATATAATGTCCTCATACTTTTATAAATACTAACGATAATGTAAATTATTGTAGGGGCGGCAGCAAAAATGACCGTCAAATGCCAGGCAGAAGCAATTTTTTCAAGTATCATTTTTTTAACGCGAGTACCGCAACGCTTTCATTTCGTGTCTTTGTGTCTTTGATTCGAATGCCTGAACATGAGGACTTGATTCATATATTTGCCCAAGCGATTCGGAGTATCAGTTTTTTTTAAACCTGGGTATATGACCGATCCAGTTGCCAGACAAAACATGTCTGCCTTAGCGCTTGGCTCAAATACAAATCTGGCTAGGATCTAATTAGTAGTTGCCTTTGCTGTCATCGAATGGTAGCCTGCTTGGACAGTCTGGACCATCGATGTGTGTGTGTGGGGGGGGGATATTTTTGTAACTGGGAAGGGGTGACGTAATGCATTTGCTGACTACAAACATTTCCACACTTGAGATATCAACAAAATAAAAAAGGCCAGAGCGAAACGTTGTTTACTGCTACGCGCTGAAGCCGAAAGAGTGCGTGGTACAACTTTGCTCTTCGAACTTCACTCGAAAGCCCGCAACAAATATTGAGACGCAACCAATTTCACTTCGCAGCCGAGCAGGTTGAAATGGTCTCCTCGCACGCTACGGTTTATGACTATGAGGGAAACTCTTTCACGAATCATCAGCCTCCGATTATTTATTTTGACAACAATTTGAATGAAATTACACAAACCGCTCCGGAGATCATCACAATGTGTTCCGAGAGGGCTACGTCACACATCGCTGACGAAAAAAAAAACAAGGAAAAGAGGGCCACGCCAACAGACCTGGGTTCTTTACATTGCGATATTGTTTCGTACTGCAAAGATGCAGTTATGACAAAGCCGCATGCTAAGACAATGTTTGGGTAGCGGTCATAGTACTCTTTCAGCATTAGCGCGAGCGCGCGGGAAAAGGCTTCCCAGCACGCTCGCTGGTATTCAATAATAAAACAGGTGGTCGAAGCTTTCCGTTTACCGAACATTTGCATCTTACCGAGATATCTTCCCACACGTCTTTCAAAATAGGTATCCAGGGTCTTTAAGGCATTTACTCCGGGGTCAGGGTCGGAGTCGGGGCGCGCGCCGTCTGGCCTGCGTTTGGCACGGGGTGAGTCAGAGCGCGCGCCGTCTGGCTCGGTTCGGCGCGGGCTGGGTCAGAGCGCGCGCCATCTGGCCCGGTTCGGCACGGGGTGGGTCGGAGCGCGTGCCGTCTGAACCGCGTTCGGCACGGGCCGGGGTCGTGGCGCGCGCCGTCTGAACCGCGTTCGGCACGGGCCGGGGTCGAGGCGCACGCCGTCTGGCAACCGTCATACCCCGGTTACCAACCGTTTGAGATAGCCGGCGTCAGGCCGTGGCAGAAATCTGAATTGCATGATGGCTGAAGGGCCTGCGGGTCAGTTCTCCATTGCTATGCCATGCAGGGTGAGCACCGCGCACCGAAAGAATATTGCCAGTCACGTGTTCCCAGGTCGCCTGCATCACGTGTTGTATAGTCGGCGCCATCTGGTGATGGCGCAGATTGGGAGGAGATTATTGACACAGCCCAGCGTAGCTTCTAAGGTCTTGACCAAGCTATTGGAGCGTGAGACAGCAGGTTTTTAATAGACTTATAAAATAGTACGGACTTTGCAATGACCGAAACTGATATCCGATGGCTTTCACAAGTCTTAGCTCTCGCCGACGGCCCATAACAAATAAATGTATTTCGCATCGTCGTTTTTGCGTAAATTAGACTACGTTCTGCTGGAGATGGTTCTTGGACTTAGCCGCTGACAAATACAGCTAGCTGCAATGGCAAGACCTCTCATCCCAGCAGCGCAGCATAGCATTTCCAACTGAACGAAAACTGTCGCGGGAGGACTAACGTGTCACGTGTGACGTCATTATCAGCTGGCATGGGCCGTCAACGGCAGGTCACACCACCGCCCAGCGCAGTTCTGCTTCCGAGACGCCGAGTTCCATGCGTCTGCCACTATCAGTCAGCGTTCGCGGCGCCTTACAAACCAAGCTGCGACCCCAGGGTCGGCATCGCGCTTTATGGCATGGACGCTCGTAAAACGATGTCCATATTCCCAACATGGGTAGTCGTAGTGGTTATTCTCTTATACGCGTACTTCATTGACGCGTTTAGTTTTCGTATCTCCGAGTCAAAATATAATCCCGCACATTCCCGCGTTTACTCAAATTCCACTCTAGTTTCTGAGCCTCACGCCCGCGAATATGTGCTGGCCATTTTGTGCAGACTAGTTCAGGGCTGTCCAGGCATGCATGACGCCATAGCAACGTCATTAAAATCCTGCCACCCCATAGACTATGCGGCGTTCAAGGCCAAGAAGAGTATAGTCGTCGAGTCCTTCAGATTTGACATTCGTAAGCCCGATGTTCAAATAAAATGGGCGTCAATTGGCTCTCAATCAATGATGAGCAGGCTATGCACGGTGCAACCCGGAATCACGGTTTGTGCTGCATAAAATAAGAAATGGGACATGAATGCATTGCGGAAACAAAACCTGTCAGCGAACAAGTAAGGAAATGCGCTATAGCCGCGTACGTATACAAGTCAACATCTTGAACTCACGAATCAATATGTAAGAAAACCACGAGAAAGAGCCAAGACACGAGGGCATAACGATACTGGCTGCGGTACACGCTTCCAGCACCGCCATGGCCATCTATTGGTCGATTGAAGTACTACCTACATGTGAGTGCTAGGATGACAATTTCACACGGCTGGTTTCGTAGCACCTCAACGTTATACAAACGCTCCGTGAAGTGACCAAACAATGACGTATTGAGGTACATATTTACTAAGTAGGGCAATTGCCTTGTGCAGAGCAGTCTTTTTCACGCAAAAGCATACCATTCGCTATAAGTGAGCTTATTTCGTCCTATGTCGTGCTTGCTTTGAAATCTTCATATGTCGAATATTCGCTTCGAGAATGCTTATGTGCTCATGCGTGACATTCGTAGCATTTTTTCAGACACTTCTGTCTAGTACAGGTGGCACCTCCTTATGAAATCGCTTTGTGCGGGCGTGCTGACACCGTACGCGTCCTGCACCCCCTATATCTTATCACGCTCTGAACCGGAATGCGTCGAGATATCGTGTCGGCCGCACAAAGCAGACGACAGGTCAGCTGCTCGTCAGCTACCAAGCGTCTTTGTGTGCAGCAGTGCCGTCTCTCTGAATACATAGGTACATCTGCGGTGGCTACAAACTGGCCCATTTGCCTGAGGGAAAACAATGTTATCAAGCTGAATGGCGTGGCGAGCTGAGTAAATATCGGCGACAATAGCGTAGCTCGCACTGCTGTTTTCTCGCCAGCATATTAACAAAGCCCGTTCTAACGAGACGAAACCCGCAACACTCCTGACGATTCCAACACCCCTTGCCGATTTTCTGTCCCATGCACCACCGCCGCCAGGACCTCTGGGCAGCGTGGGCCGGCCGGAGCGGCCTGTCAGGTGCCGCCGGCGGAGGGGGCGGAGGGGGCGGAGGAGGGGGCGGAGGAGGAGCGGAAGAGGAGGCGGAGGAGGAGGCGGTTGGCGCTCTCACCTCTGAGTACATGCCATGCGGCGCGCGGTTGCCGCACAGTCAGCGTCTTCGGGTACGTCTCGAGGTAGCGGAAGGCGATGCCGCCCAGCACGAGGTACAGCACGAATACCACGGCCATCACCAGTGTGCGCCGCGTGCGCTTGTTGCGCCCGAAGTCGGCGCCCTTGGGCAAAGGCACGGCCATGGTTGCGACGCGGAGCCTAGCACGAGGGCGCCGCGCCGCTGTCGGCGCCACACTGGCCGCCACCGTCGCCGCCGCCCGCGCACGTCCGCCCTCTGACGGCCCGCGACGCAGCGCCGCCGCCGCGGAGCTGGCGCTGGGGCCTGGCGCTGGGGCTGGGCTGGGCACTGGCGCTGAGGAGCGTTGAAGACAGCTGAGCTGAGCTGTGGCTGTGACGGGAGCTAGAGATGAGCTGGAACTGTGACGGGAGCTAGAGATGAGCTGGGACTGAGGTGCGTAGCTAGAGATCTGCGCCATGCAGCTTTGCTGGCGGACCTGGGCGAGGGACCGCACACATGTATCGCCACCGTTTGGCCGCTCCGACGCCGCTGCCTAGCACAGCTCGCGCCGGTGATTTGGCTGGGTCTATCTGGAGGCAGCTGCAACCTGAGCCCGAAGCTGCCCGGCGGTCATGAGCCGGGCAGCTCGCAGCGATGCTCGGGGACGTCCGGAGCGATGGTCCGACGCGGGGGTATCGATTTCGGTGTCCTGCAACTTCTCGGAACTGGACGTGGGGCGGCCCTGACAGCGCAACGCAACTTGGAAATGCCCCGAAGCGGTCCGGGTGCCCTGTCTCCTGACCCCGACCTCCGCCTTTGGCCGCTCGTCATCCGTGCCAACGGGACACCCCGGTCTCGTCTGGTCGCTGCTCCGCTTCTGGAGGGAGCGGAGGGATGACCAGACGCAGAAAAAAGACGTTGTGCCGTGTCTCATGAACTGCCGTGACACTGAGGATGGCCAACGAACAGCTCGGAGGTAATTTTTTACGTGCCTTTCAATTAAAATCCCTGACTTGGTCTCGTAGGCAGCCTTATCCAAGCAGCAAAGCCAAAAACAGTCTGATATTGGCATACGATCGCCCACGGCAAACTGGTGACGTTACCCGGGAACTAGCTCTATAGGAAGACCGTCGTAAGATTCTTAGAAGTCCAGCTTAAGCCCGCCGCCGTTCTGATTTAATAACGCATCGCATAAGTTTCAGGCCTTCGAGGTTTCAAGCATTGCTGCGTGAAGGAGTTTTTGAAGTGCTTTAACCAAGCCACGAATATGGGATGGTTTCCAAGTCGTGTCGGTTCCTGGAGAGGGTTCTCACTTTCCACTCCGTTGTCGTTTTCCTATCCATGGCCTGTGGCCTATGAAGAGCCTGCTTTGGCCATCTGGTTGCTGGAGGCATATGACAGGACGTTGCTGGTCGCATCAAGACTACTATAACGTCCAGATGGCCTTGGTTTGCTCGGATAAGATCTGCCGCCGTCCCCGTCCCCAACGAGCCTGACCTTGCCCCGGCCAGGTGAGCTGGGACCCCGTGCGGAACGCCGCCGGTCAGACCCTGGTGGCAGGGAGCCGCAGCCACGCACCCCGAAACACGTGTCACAGCCAAGGATCCGTCGCACCGGACTGACCGGTTTGGAGCCGGCGACCGCCTAATTAATGAGGGCGTTCGCGTCCGGGGACCGGTGCGCCTTCAGTTCGCCGCTGTCAAAAATGCCGTAGACACTGAGATGCACTTTCCAAAGCCTTGCAGGAGATGGAAATCGACGGCAGCTGCAATCCGTCCACGAATGGGAGACCAAAATTACGAAAGCGCCCCAAACTGAGAGACCAAAATCGGCTGTAAGCGACACCACTTTCCACGCAGACTCTTGAATTTTGACGCATTGCGGAACGCAGCCATATAACGCCCCACCCCGTATCACCCGACAACGTGTCGAAGGCAACGTGCCAGGTTACCAGTGCCGAAGCGAGTCCATCGGCAAAGGCTTATTACACATGGTACCTGCTGCCGGGTAGGCCGGCGGCGGGGCGGGGCGGGGAGAAAGGGACTTTTTGTTTGCTCTAGTGGGGCTGTGGGCATGACCTTGCTGTCACTATGCGGGAACCCCGTAATCAAGAGGCTTGGTCGGCCCATCCGACCTGGCTATTTCCCTTTCCAGAGGCTGATGTCTTTACGACCACTGATCGTAGGATCAAGCCGTTTGGCAACACAAATTGTAATTCGTGAATCGCAAAAGGCTGCGCTGTATAACTTGCAATCGATTTTCATGCAAACCGCGTGATCGTTGTATATTCCCGTGCCTTCACATAGTCATCATGGTTTCACATCTCGTTTCATTGACATGAAAACAGTGGAAATTTCCAGCTTGCAAAGAAGCCGGAGAGCGTGGACTGGTTGAATCAAGGTGTGCGCAACCAGGCATCGCAATGTCATGGGAGTAATTGGCTGCAGTAAATTTGTTCTTGCTCCGTCTACGTGATAACAACTGCCAAATTGCACGTACGCTATTGCTTTGCTCACTGCACGTTGCACAAGGCGTATTTTTGGTGAGAGAAATGACTGATGTCACTGGTGGTCACTGGTCCACTTATCTACAGAGGCCAGTGACCTTAGGAATTCCAGATTCGTGAGACAGCCAAACCGGGGATTTCGGTTTGGTGCCTGGACACGCCGACATTCCTGGGAACGAGCGGACGGACACTGCGGTAAAGGGGGGAACAGTCGGAACTCGTTCTCGCCCTTCCCGGGTGCCGTTCTCTGGCTTGGGTCAGGTGCTGTCAGCTCGCTTAAAAAAGATTAGCAAAAGGCCCGGCACCTGAAAAGCACTTATGACCATGGAAATGCGGGAAACAAGCTTAGGGCTACCAGGCCAAGCGTAGGCGAGTGGCAATCCTCTTATCGCGTCAGAAGAAAGGAGGAAGTTAGCCTCCGCAGTATCCGCATGGGTCACACATACGGTACTCATGGGTTTTCTTCTGCCAGTGGGGCAAGCACCAGCATGTCCTCGATGTGATCATGAGCTGTCCGTCGCTTATGTCCTCGTGCAGTGCCCACACTTTGTCGCCGAGCGCTATAGTCACTTTGGTCGTCAAAGACAACGGGATTGTCCTTGGGTTCACTTATAGACGAGGGCCCTACTAGTAACGTGAGAGCAGTTCTTGCGTTTCGTAACGACATCGACCTCACGGTCACTTACTTTTACGGCATCTTCTGACGTAACGGCATCGACCTCATGATCAGTTACTCACCTTTACGGCATCCTCTGACGTAACGACATCGGTCTCACGGTCAGTTACTCACCTTTACGGCATCTTCTGACGTAACGTCATCGGCCTCACGGTCACTCACCTTTACGGCATCTTTTGACGCAACGTCATCGACCTCACGATCAGTTACTCACCTTTACGGCATCTTCTGACGTAACGTCATCGACCTCACGGTCACTCACCTCTACGGCATCTTCTGACGTAACGACATCGACCTCATGATCAGTTACTCACCTTTACGGCATCTTCTGACGTAACGACATCGGCCCTCACGGTCAGTTACTCACCTTTACGGCATCGTCTGACATAACGACATCGGCTTCACGATCAGTTACTCACCTTTACGGCATCTTCTGACGTAACGACATCGGCCTCACGGTCAATTACTCACCTTTACGGCATCTTCTGACGTAACGTCATCGGCCTCACGGTCAGTTACTCACCTTTACGGCATCTTCTCACGTAACGTCATCGGCCTCACGGTCAGTTGCTCACCTTTACGGGCATCTTCTGACGTAACGACATCGGCCTCACGGTCAGTTACTCACCTTTACGGCATCTTCTGACGTAACGACATCGACCCTCACGATCAGTTACTCACCTTTACAGCATCTTCTGACGTCACGCGTCCTTGGCTGAAAACACCCTAGCATACCTGTTTTGCACTCTGCGTGTTGAGACTGTTCATTTTGCAACTTGTGCTATTTAGACGCGCTTGGGAAGCCAACAACAGCAACCTTTATCTTATAGCACGGCATAGTTCTGCACAGCAATAGGTTGTGCTCAAATTGACCGCGGTCGTTGACGCGCGCTTAAGCCCAAATAACAACAACGAAATGCAAGCGGCAGACAATAGTGAACTTCACCGTAAGACAACTCTGTGGCCCCTCCCCACCCCCTCCCCACCCCCACCCCCACCCCCCACTCCACCCCTCTACTGGGGACGGCCTGTTCAGGTAAACAGCGGGCCCCTGAAGCCCGAAGAAGAATATTCTGATCTGATCTGAGAAAGGAGCGACGCGAGCCAGCACGCCATCACGTTTGGAAAAGAAACTCATCAAATTAGTGGAGAGACACGGGGTTCTCGTCATGAGAAGGAATTCAGTTAGCTATGCCCATGATATGTCCAGGACTTCAAACAGCGACAAGGGTACCTGCTTTTCTGAAAGGAAGTTCTAGACATTAATATACTTGTCATGCGATCCCCCCACCTAAGGAAAGGAATTTGTGAATGCCTTCAAGGAAAGGACATGCCAGCTGAGGAAGATGAGCTTTTAAGTCATAATGCGTAGTCATTGGAGACAACTGAACATCACAGTGCATTAGTATGCCACACTGCCCACTTCGCCTGGAGCTAATAATACCCACCACGCAATTTAGTGGCTACTACCTGCCATACAACAGAGCACTTGCTGCCCCAAGGTCCAGCCGTCGAATGCCTGATCAGTATTAGATTGTCCGGCTTCTCAGAGTCGGGCGCAGGTCCATGCAAGGATTGCTCTTCCTTGTCGTCCGCCACTGTTTTTCATACAAAATGAGATAACTATCACGGTATATACCAAAATGGGCCAAAACAGGACAAATGCTCCACCTTTGCCGCTCACCCAGTGTCAGTTTTTCCAAATAAAAACATTCCGCACACTAACAAAATTATAAGCCACGTGTTTTCAACCTCCAGACCAATCTCATTGGAGAAAGTTTCAGCTATGAGCAAAGTTTACCTGCGCTGCAGTAAGGACACATGAACAATAAGAGGTGGCATGTGATTAATACACACCGGGCAAGTGACTTCCGGCACAAATAAAGTACTGTTGTGTACGTGATTAGCTGCCCTCTGTCCTGCCAACGCGATCATCGTGCTGGTGGCACAGTGGTTTAGCGCGCCTGCGTTGTGACCATGTACGAGGTTCGTGTTGGGTTCGAATCTCAAGAGCGGCGGCCCTTCTGTCGTCAGGAGACATCCCATTTTCGCGTCTGTTTCTCGAAGCTACGTGGTCACGTGACCCGGCCAATCACAGGCCGGGAGTAGGTCACGCCTGGGGGTCGGGGTCGGCGGTGGGTCAGTGGTGGTCCGGGGCGGCGCCGGGGAAGGTAGTCAGTTCTCGTTGATATTCACGACGTAGCTGGCTCCTTTCTCCTCCGCTTTCCTTTGACTGCCACCCCGGTCCTTCTACCCTCAGCTCTCGTTGATATTCACGACGTAGCTGGCTCGTCTCCCTCCGTTCCCTTTGACTCCGATTCCGGTTCTTCTACCCCCGCTGTCGTTGATATACGCGGCGTCAGCGTGTCCTTGTCAACACTTGTTCACGATGTTGATACATCTTTAGTGGCCGTTGTTGTTACCGACGGCTGCTACCTGCCCTGGGGATCATAGCCGCCGTGTATTCGTATCGAACATGGTCTAAGCGATGTAGGAAATTTGGATGACTTCATGCGTGTATGCTCCCGTGATCAATATACTCCATTTTTGTTAAACGTCTTTGGTCTACCAGAGATTAAATCGAGCCCGCCCAACATGCCAGTACAAAGGGTGGGCACTAGTATTGTGGGGGCGACACAGGATGCCACGATGAAACACATGTGTTCAGGTCTGAGTGGCGGTGACGAATGGCCGTTGATTCCACTTTTTTAGCGCAGCGACATCTTTGAAAGCATGCGAGATTTTAAGAGTGAGCGGGGCGTCCTGTTTGCAAATGATTGGGAGGAGGGCTACC